GGTCAACACACTGATGTGCAACAGTGTAGACATAGGAACAATAAAGCTCATATTATAAACTTTCTTTCTTTATAAAACTATGCTGCGTCTTTAGAGTATCTTTAGAGTATTTATGTATAAAAATAAGGAATTTTAGGGGTTTTTATTGGGGGGGAGGGTGTAATCCTATCCAGTTGTATTTATCACAATTGCCACCCCTTTATAGGGTCATTGGGCTTTGTACAAATAGCAAATCACCTAAAGAACTTGGCTATCTCTTCAGTATCCTTTGTATTTCCAATACAATAAATAATTTCCAATGGGCTTCCTATTTAGAGGGACTTGTTTAAGCTGTTTATCTTTGAGAGTCCCAATTGCATATTTCATGGTTTTCTCAGATGGAAAAAGCTGTGACCCTTTAAACAGAAATCTTCTGAATGGAAACAGTAAGGAAAGAATGGCTACAGGAGTAACTAAAATGTCTTTTGACCTTTTTAAGAGTTTAATAACAATCAGAAGCATTATAAGGCTCAGTGGTAATAAATTGCTTTTATAAGAGTATGAATCTTTAAGTTGAAAATATAAGTTAAAAATGATGATTTGCATGTAAAAGGTGGCAATTATTTTGTGTAAAGGCAAAAAAAATGCTATAGACTGTAAAATCTTGCTGAGAATCATAAAGCATACCATCAAGAAAAAGAAATAAAGCTGTTACTGATGCCTGAAAACTCCTTCCCAGGATGCAACTAATTCTTCCCTTAATAAATGCAGTGTGTCTTTCATCTAAGGTATAAATATCAAAAGGGTAAGTAAATTATTTTCTTATTAAAGAATGAGACTTGTGAAAACATAATTGCCCTGTAAAGGCCAAGAAGAAAACAAACTATTTAATGACGTGGAAAATTCCAGCCAGGCCTAGATCAAAAGCTGAGCAGAGCCCCTCAGGTATAGCTGAACTGTGTATTACTCAGAACCTGAGGGGAAAGCATGCTAGGGTTCAGATCCAGCACCAGGAAAATGACTTCACAGGTGTCATACTCATAATGCACAGAAAGGAATGTCTTAGGAAGACTACTCAAAGGCCTCTCATTGTCAGGTAGCCACTGAATTAAAAGTTCAGACAGTATTTCTAGAGTCTCTTTTGTTCTAATATCGAACACTGAGTAGAATAGAGAAATTCAGCAGTGACAGTAAGTTTTAAGAATGACAAAAATCCTATATAATAAAAGGCTAACATGCAAATTGTCCCTTTGACTGGGATGTTGCCTGAGGCTTTTCCTCCCAGCCAGACTGCCTTGATCTGCCCTAATCAGGGTGGGCCAGCCGGACCCTACCTGTGCACAAATTCATGCACTGAGCCTCTAGTAAAATAAAATAATTAGTTCTTATACCCTGCCTATTTTTGCAAAACTTCCAAATACCTTTAAAGACATCAATGATATATTTCTATTCTTTGTTGTTTTAGTTGACAACTCTAATGTTCATTTGTAAATAACTCAGTGATATTTGTCCCTATTCCTTTCTATTGATAAATATTTACTTTTAACTAACAAGAGTATTTTTATGTTAAGATTCTGCCCTTCTGTTACATTTTAATATACCTATTTTCAAATCCCAAAATAAGAAAAAACATTAAAAAAAACAAAACCATTTTACTACCATTAGCTTTTGGGTAAGAATTTAACCTCTGCTTCTGAGGATGGGGACTAAAAGGAGGTTGGGGGGAGGGGGCAGGAGTAATCTTCAATAGCATTATAAATATTTTTGATCACGCAAAGCATGAATGCATATTGAAATATATAGAACGAAAATAGCAGTCAACTGGATTATGTTTTTCATGTCTGTTTTTTTCCTTACAAAATAGAAACAGGAACCCTTACTGTGCTTCTGACATTAACCTGAGACAATTTCTTGATGAAGTAATAATGGTGATAACAACAAGACTATAAAGATACCTGACAGGTTCTCAATGCTTCATACATGCCAGTTACTGTGCCAAGTGCCTTCCCTGGCTCACCCTGGCACAGCCTTCTGTGACTCTACACTCTGGTGCAGGAACAAGGCTGAAGGAGGTGACTCACAGCAGAGCCTGGCCTCAGTCTCAGCTCAGTGCTAATCACTCCACCCACAGCACCCCTCCTCAGCCTCAGCACTCTTGATCTGGAACTTTGGGCAGTGCCCCTCCACGTGCACAAGTGGGCTGCCTCTGACATTGACAGGTCTGGCTCCTACCTGAGGTTTGTGGCCATGAATTTAAAGCACACCACCAGTGAAATTAGGGTGAATTAACATAAGTCACAATTTGTATCACACACAGCAATGACATAAATGTGGGAAAAGGCAGTTGCAATGCATCTTTAAATATGCTCCATTTTACAGTGTGGTGTAAGTTCACCTCTATTTTCCAACACTGCATCTGCTGAAGCAGTAAGCTCATTCTCAAACTCTCAGGCAAACAAAATTCTCAGCTTTGGAGCATGGCCTATGGGCTAAAGTTGACTTCAGCTACTGACCTGGAAAACCATGACCAAGTAGCAGGGTGTTATCACCATAGTTAAAAAGGTGGCGGGGGGAAAGAAGCCAGCTGTGCACAGTGATAAGAGGCTGGATCAGCTAGCTAAACCTGAAACAGAGAGGCATTCCAGACAATGGCTATTTCCATGTCCCTGGTCATGTACAGATGAACAATGTCAAGATATGATCAAGACCTCTTCCATCAATGACTGCAATGATCCCAGAGCAGGACAAACTGGATGGGATGCAAATGGGCCAGAACAATTGCACCTTTAATAGTATGAAGAGGATTTTCATGCATTGAGGACAGAAAAAGCCTGGAGAACATAGAGTTTGCAGAGAATAGGAACTTAAAAGAGAATGTAGCCCAGAATTAAACAAACAAACAAACAAACAAAAAACATTGGCACAGAGCCATTCACCATTAAAGACAACCTTCATTCCTCAAGTTCAATTTTATTTTACCACCTGGTATATTAAAACAACCTGCTGATTTTTCCAGGTTTCATAATGGCTATTCTGGAATTTAAAAGTTATTCCACAGTAATCTATGTACCATGATGATAACTTAACCAATTATTTGGCTAAAAAAAATGCAAAATAAATTTTAGAGATCTGAAAGCATGTTCCATGGATCGTGTGGGTCTGTAGCAGTACACTGGTTCTGTACCAGGGGTCAGCTAATTTAGGATACAATGGCAGAAATGAATAATTGTGACAGACAGTATGATCAGCAAAGCCTCAACTATTTACAATCTGGTTCTTTGAAATAAAAAAAAAAGTTTTACAGTACAATTGGATAGACCCATCTCCTGGTCTATCCAATTGTACTGTATTTTTTTTTTTTTTCTTTAAGCTGCTCCAAGTCCTTTTTCGAACGAGGTAAGAATGTCAATGAGCAAATAATCACTTTCCAACAGTGACTCCCTCCTTGTTGTGATATATGGGGGTTTTAATGGACAGATCTAAGGCTGACAGTCATGTGATGGATCGTGCCCCGCAGAGGGAGGCCTCACCCACCCACCACAGCCCGCCTGTAGGTGACCTGGGTCTCCCTCTTGGGGGCAATTGTGGAGCCTCCCATTGACCGATCACCCCAGTAGTTGGTGGCCTGGGCCTCCCTCTGCAGGGCGATCATGGGGCAATGGCAAGGCCACAGACCAATCGCATCGCACCCTCCTTGGCTGGCCTGGTGCCTGTGGGTGTCATAGCGTGGTCGTCCGGAAGGTCCTCCGGATGGTCATTCTGCAATTAGGTCAACTTGCATATTATGCTTTTATTATTATAGACTAGGCATGGTAATGCCATACATTGTAGTGACTCCGTATTCTATTTTGTTTTTCTGAAATATGCTGGTTTCCCCGCTTTATTATCTGATGAACTATCCTGGGCTCAAAGTAAAGAACTTGTTTTTCGGCAGAGAGCTGACTTTTTTGCTCAGGTTTTGTGTTTGTTTTCTTTTTCCTGGGTCTCCAGGGGATTTCTCTTGTGCCTGCACAGTTTGTGATCAGCCAGTGATTTCAACAGAGAGTATATAGAGACAGCTAAAGCCAGTGAAGTGTTGTCTGCTCTCTGCTACCCAAACCATGTATGGGTGAAGGAACTCATTCACACTTGCAGCAGATAAGTTAGACTCCCCACACTTTCCATTTGGCATGTGCCCCCGTGGGAGTTCCATGTACACGTGCTGTTCAGCAGTCAGCCATAAATGCTGAGGGAGCACCTTATCTCAGCCTTTGCATAGCTCTTTGCTTCCAAATCTCCTCCTTAAATTTCTAGCTGCTCGGTTACTCCCCCAAACCACATCAGCCAGCTTTAACCAGTAAACCTGTTTTTAACACTGGTATACGTGTGTTGGGGAAGGGGGCAAGAAGAAAATGGGGAGATGAGAATACCCTCTGGCATCTTACCCAATTCAGTAGCAGCTTTTCATAAGTAAGCATTTTCAAGTTCTTTGCTGTCTTTGATTATTTTTGAAATGGTTGCAATCAATAACTCTTGTAGTTTTATACTGGTTTTTTTTTATGCAGTATCATCCAACTGAGGCAGGCAGCCATCAGTGAAGCAGAGTCTTAACCATAATTTAAGCACTTATAATGTATTATCAGGATCTCATTGAACATTATATGAAATGTTCAATGAGATCCTGATAATATATTAAAAAATTAGTCAACCACAGAGCAGGAAACAAATTTCTTGCTTGTAAAAATTAAATTTCAGACCCAATTTCTATAGGGCTGATAGAAACAGTAAAAGAAAAATGTAACAGTAAAAGAAATACAATATAAAGAAATATGATGTGATCACGGTCTATTAATCCCACTAAGGTCTTTCAAAAAATATATATACCTACCAGGAAAATTTTAAATATATGAAGTTTTTTAGACAAGAGAGTCAATTTGATTTAGACCCAAACCTCCTGTTGAGGGGGAAAAAAACATTATTGAATACAGACTATAGGATATCTCTCTTGAAATGTAGAGTTCATTGACATTTAAGAAAATTACCTTGAAGGCGGCTAAACAATGCAGGCTCAGTAAGGTCATCACTACCGCCAGAAGGATGGTGGCGAGATTCCGAATGTCCCAGATGGTCTCTACCAGAGGAATACTGCCGACCTGCCAGTCATAGCACAGGGTAACAGGTGCAAGCAGAAGCCACACGTTGAAGGCCAAGAGGTAGGAATATGTAAGGAATCTACAAAGAGAAGAAGAACTGCTGAGACATAACTCATGACCCATGATATTATCTAAACATTCATTCACCCTGTTTCTATTAAACAGCATTTCTACACTGTCGACATTATCTTATAGGAAAAGGCAAGGTAAGATGGAATTCCTTTAGTCATTACATTGATCATTTTGGAAAATACCTAGTAGTTTCTAGTCACTGTGGTAGATGCTGGCCTTTCAGTGGTGAACAAGACAAGACCTAGTTTCCAGGACATATACTTTAAAATTATCATAAAAATAAATACACTGTGACCTGAGATAAATGCTATTTAGGAAAAGTGTGACAAAAGCATATGACAGAAATGCTGCCCTGTTGGGTATGATTCCCCGGGTAAGAAACATGTGAACTGTCCATCTTTAATAGTTCTCAAATACCTGTAGTAGATATGAAAATATTTAATCATTTTAATAACAGATTGATTATCATTGTATAACAAGTTGACCCGTATTGAATTATTTCCAAATTATCAAATATCTGTGGTAAGAAGATAATGTCTCTTAATCCCAAGTGGAGAGACTAGCCATCCAAAGGAGGCAAGTCCCACTGTCCTTGCTAAGACAGGAACAGCCAGCTGGGCCTAGGGGAGTGGAATACTGAGTGGAGGTGTTACTCCCGTTTCCTACTATCAGACAGTGAAAAACACTCTAATCCCATTCCTTTGAGGGTAGAGTAAATGGAATTTATTTAAATTTATTCAGTCAACACACATTCATTAAGTAGTGTTCTAGACCCCTGAGAATTGCAGAACTCTCATCACATACCAAACTCCATCCAAACGTCTGCACTAGGAGAGGACCAAACCCTAGCACTGACCCTGGCAGTGTAAGGCCACATGCCTAGGAAGACCCCAGCCTCTCATGAAAAACGCTTGGCTGAGAAAGCTCACAGCGCCAGAAGAGTTTACTGTGTTGTGTTCTAGCTCACACCTGAGGAGAGGCCAGCCAAATCCCATTCACTCTGACCGACCCTTGGTCGTTATTCACCTCTTTGACTCTGCTGGGCTCCACCTTGGCCCCCTCTCTCATTCTCCCTTTAAAGTTTCTAGTCATCTCTGCACAAGTGAAATGGTGCTCAGCTTTTCCCAATACTATCAGTAGTTACAGAATAAAATCTATGGTCACTGCCCTAACTAATGTCTACTCTGCTTACCTTTGACATCCTAGATGAGATTAAACAGAAAAATCAGGTAAATTCCTTGACCCAGTATGGAAAATAAGACGTACAGAATTAAAGAAGCCAAATAAGATAAGCTCCGTAAGAGTGCCGAATGTGAAGAAAAGTCGCCACCTGTTTCTCTGATTCTTTTGGAGGGATTCTCCACGTGGTTAGATCAGAGAATTCCTACATTGCTTTCCAGTGTGATGAGTCAAATCAGCTTGCACTCCTCTCCACAGTAGCTGCTTGTTTGGAACATTCTTCCCGACTCCGTCTCCTTCCCTTTCTTCATGGGGATTATTCATCGACCTAACTCTCAAACCCCAACAGAGGAACGGATTGAAGGAATAGAGATATTGCCATGGTCTTTCCCAACACTCATCTCTGCTGTTTTTAATAAAATGTTAATGTGCCAATAGCGGAGTATATATTGAAATCTTGAAGAAGTCCACGCTTTGTTATTTAACAAAAATAAAACAAAAAATTACTGTCTCCCTTTTAGGCTTGGGTCTGAGAAATTGTTTTATGAGAATGTCAACTTCATGGACAGGGGATTGGGTCACTTTGTGCCTCTATTTTCATAGGACTTCTAAATGACCTATTTCTTAGCTCAGTAAAATTCTCTGTGACAGCTTTAAAGAAGAATGCTGAACTATCACACTTAGCAGGCAAGTCACACAGCTTTGTCACTCAGTAACACCCCAGGCCTCAAAAATTACTTTAAAAAATAGTATCTCTTTTTCTTGATATAACAGTAATAAGCAATGCTTATAAATGGCTGCAAAAACGTATTAGGTGAACAGTTGATGGGATACTTTATAATGAATGGATCAGGCTAAATCAGGTGCCTAGAACTCGCTAAATAATTTCAATGTCACAGAAGGAGACCAACGGCCCTCCTGATGGATACAGATACCTCCACATATGAAGCAGTCAGGTAAAAAAAAAATTTAAGCTTGAATCTGATCAAGCACATTTGTTAACAGTTCACATCAAATACAGAAAACACTGGAACATGCTAAAGGATACCACAGGCATGCAATATGCAAAATCTAGAATGTTGCAAATTCTAAAACCCAAAGGATGGCAGCTTCTTTAACAAACAGAAGATGGTGGGTTGGGGTAGTGGCAGAAAGAAGAGTAACACATAAATTAAGAGTCTTAAAAGACATATCAAACAGAGTACAGCTTTTGTTTAGATGCTAACTCAGACAAACTATTAAAAGTAACCACCTAAGAGACAGAAAAAATTGAAACACTGATTGGATATATGATACTAGAAAATCATTGCTAATTTTTAAAGTATGATAACGGTATTGCGGTTCTCTTTAGTAAGGGTCCTCGTCTTTTAGAAAAATATACGAAAATATATGCGTATCAAAGGTTCTGATATCTGGTATTTGCTTCACAGTGATGAACTGGAAGCAAGGAGCAAGAAGTGGGTGGGGTATGAATGCAAAATTGGCCATACATTTGGATTGCTGAAACTGGGTAAGGGGTGCACAGGGGTTCTTTATGCCATTTACTCTACTTTTGCACAGATCTGATATTTTACATAATAAAGACTAAATTTTTAAACAGGCCAAGAAGGAAACAACAAAATTGCAACAGGAATATTTGCATATATTATAGCTGCAAACACCATGCAGAATTTTTTTATTTGAATGTTAGGTTCATATTCCCCCTTGCCCTGCAAGTTGCCCTCACTTTATGTTTTTGATACTTGCAATATCATACTAACAAAAAAGCAAATAAAGAATATTATTTTTTTAAAGTTAGAATTTCAACTTTGTTAGAATTTTCAAAAATGCTAATTGTGACTGTTGACACAGATTGTAACCAAAATTGCTTAAAAAAGTAATGTAAATCACCGACTAAAAGCAACTTCCCTTCTTGTAAAACTAGATTAAAGTATTAATATACCACAAAACTGTCAACTTACTCTTTTTAATACAAATGTACTGCTTCCAGAAACTCAGAGATATAACCTACCTTTCATTGCAAATGATTTCAATGCTGATAATAAACGGTTGAAATATTATTTGGAATACTGAAACAACACTGCAAAATTTGTACAATTTAAGCATAAGGAAGGTACTTGAAATCTCACCAAAAGCTAACTACATTTTTAAGGGACTAGTGGAGCTAGTTGGAATCAGCAATTAAATTATTTCTTCTCAACTCATTGACTATCAATTACATTTTAAACTAATCATCTTGTTTATTTATGCTAAAATTTCAGAAATGAAATGATAGGTGGAGTATCTCTGTCTGACTGGAGCTCTCTTTTTTTAAAGCAGGAGCAAGAACAAAATGAATTATTTACCAATTTTCTACTATGAATTCTGCTAACAGAAGGGAAGCCATTGGAATATCTTGAGGGGAGGGGGGAATGGGATATACAGCACAGGAAGCCAGGGCTTTAGCTTAAACAATTCAGTCATGTATTTCCACTGATCAGCCAGGAAATCCATGCAAAGGAAAAGGAAGATGAGGCTGTGGGGAACTGCCATGCATCAATGGGAACCTAATGAAACTGTGAGGCTCTTTAATCTAAATCTTCACTTTTGTCAAGAAAAAAAAATTAGAGTGCTTGAAGTGCAAAAATATACATAAATTCTGTTCTTTGCTTTTGAAAAGAACCTCTCTCTCCCTATTTTTTTTTTTTTTTTTTTGCTAAGAAATAATCTAAACCTAATGTATTTTCATACCCTAGGAAGATGCCCATGATAGCTACATATGAAAAATCAGGCACTACATCAAAGTACAGCACTTGCATGTTTTATATGAAAAATGTTACTGCCTAAAGGATCCTTCTTTTTCATTCACCCCAAAATCCTTCACTGTTTCATAAATGCTACAGAATGTGGACTGGTGATATCCACCTGGTGGCCTCTTGGGAAGACAGTGGCTAAACTGTCAATATACCAGCCTTGGTGTGCACCACCTTTACCGCCACAGTGGATGTCCTCAGGCTAGGCCTCTACTTACTAGTTTGAGAGATCTGCCCTGCCCTTCCCTAGGCTGTTCCCTATTTCCAGCTCCTGAATTTCTAACGATGCTTCCAACGACCTCCACAGTCTCACTGTGCCCAGCAATAATGACAGACTGTTTCCAGGCTTAACCGGCTTCTATCACCACCAGTATCTTCTTCCCTGCCTACCACCTGTCCCAGGACAGCCAAAGATGCCCCTTCCTACACTCTCCCTCTTGACAGACAGGAGAGCCTCGCCAGAATTCAATAAGCCCTAACCGGTTTGGCTCAGTGGATAGAACATCCGCCAGCAGACTGAAAGGTCCCAGGTTCAATTCTGGTCAAAGGCATGAACCTTGATCACTTGCACATCCCCAGTAGGGGTGTGCAGGAGGCAGCTGATTGATGTTTCTTTCTCATCAATGTTTCTGACTCTATCCTTCTCCCTCACTCTCTGCAAAAAAAAAAAAAAAAAAAAAAAAATCAATAAAATATATTTAATAAAAACAAAGTTGAGTAATTACTTTGCACTTCTCTAAGCCCTGAAGAATAATAAAATCTAGTCCCTTACTCTCTCTCATCAAGCCAAGGTTTAGCCTCCATTGAGCAAATATGTGCTGACTGCTTACTGTGCATCAGGCACAGGATTCCAGATTCCCATTCAAGAATCCCATTGCTATACTAACGAACTCCATCCCACATTAAAACTCTGTAAACATGTCCAGCATTTTCCAGCTCATAAAGCATTTGCATCTAAGGATTATCTAATCCCAACATGACCTTTATGCCGTGGCTATGACTCAGTTTCCCAGGAAGGGGAATAGCCTTGAGGAGGCTGAGACTTGTTTCATGTCCCACTGCAAGTCCATAGCAGAGCTTGGACACAGGATGGGGTTTTCTGGCTCCACAGTCTCCCTGGTCGATTCCTGTGATGTGTAGTCTTCCATTAGTACTCCTTTATTAAGGTAGAGAACTGAACGGCAACATGATGGATCAAATATTGATATTTCATGGAGAATTACCTGTTGGAAACCCTAATTTATTCTTTGAACGGTGCAGCCCAGAAGAACCTTTAGCTAAAGCAAGGCTGACATAAATTTGAAACCAGAGTGTAATGTCACTTATAACACAGTAAACAGATGAGCAGCACACAACAAGAAAGAATCCTTACCTAAAAGCCTGGGTCTCGTGTTATTCATTACGAAGAGCAATATTTGCTTTTCTGTTCTAATGTTAGAAAAAACTAAAGAACTTCTTTAATTTTTATCAGCTTCTCAGGGATTTAAGATTGTAATGGAAACACAATATGTAGATGTAGAGAATTACAGCATTTTCTGCAAGATGCTTGCCCACAACTGATCCCAAGTCTGAAGGTAAAATTGCTACCTCCACAGGCTCCCTTTTCCGACTACTTCCTCTCTCTTCTTTTTTGTATTTCTCCCCCTCATGTCAAGGACCCAATACAAATTAGATATATTACTATTGCACAGTGTCATTTCATTTGACAAAACTAAACTCAATGACCATTATCATCTTTTTTATCCCTAAGAAGCTACTTTTCTATGAACATAATACAAAATACATAGTGGGGACCACAGCCCCCTTGTAGAGAGCTCTTTGGCCACAGAGGACACAGTTTATACCTGAGCATTTCAGAAAGAGTGACACACACCACCCTCCAGACTCACTTAGGCTGCTGGTCAAATAAAGATTCTCTCGCCTGGCAGGAGTGTCTCAGTGGTTAAGGATTAACCTATGAACCAGAAGGTCAGAGTTCGATTCCTGATTCCCTCTTATCGTTGATGTTCACCAAAACAAAAACAAAAATGTTGTGCTTTAAAGGACACCATCAAGAAAGTGAGATAATTCACAGAAAAGTAGAAAATGTTATAAAGCATATATCTAATAAAGTATATATATATATATATATATATATTATAATAAAAAAACTGTTATAACTCAATAATAAAATAACAAATAGTCCAATTCAAACCTAGACAAGAGATGTGAATAGACATTTCTTCAAATATGATACACACATGGCCAATGTGCCCATGAAGAGATGCGAAGATCATTAGCCATTCAGGAAATGCAAATCAAAGCTACAATGAGATGCCATTTTACAACCACTCATATGGCTATAATTAAGACAAACAAACAAAAAAGATTATCAAAGACTAGTGTTGGCAAAGAGTTTCAGAACTGAAGTCAGAAGAAATCATATGAAACAATGTAAAACTTGGCCAAGCTAATCTTAAAAGTTATTAGAATTTTTAAACTATATTAGTTAGTAACTATAGTATCTTAGTAACTTTAGTAAGAGTCACTTACTAAACATACTTTATAAGAAGATATAGTACTTGAAGGACAGAAGCAAAGATGCTATAAAAGTTGTTTGGATTCATACCTACAATCAAAGAGATACAGTATTAATGAGACAGATGACAGAGCTGAATGCCAAACCTGTGATTAGTAAAGACGGATTCACAGAGCTGCCAAATCACAGCTAAATCACAGTTGATGAGGAAGAAAGAAACAACAGCAGAACTAGGAAACAGACCAAGGTCATCCAATTTAAGAATCATCAGCTTAACATGGGTCAAATAACTTAGGCAAGCAGAGTAGAAACCTTATTCGGGAAAGAAATTGAAGACAAGTTTCTGGATGCTGGAAAAAAAGAACTACAGTGCTGCCATCTTAGAGAAATGTGAAACTCCACATATAACAAGTGTACTGAAATGTCCTTGGGCATCTGTGTATTTTAAGCACAAAACACAGGAATAAAAACTTTGTTTTGTGTAAAGAAAGGAGAGGAAGACTATAAAGGTGTAATAGGATATTCTATTCTATATCTTTTTAAAAAAATAATTCTTTATCGTTGAAAGTATTACATGTCCTCTTTTTCTCCCACTGCCCGCTCCCATGTCCCACCTATTGTCTGTGCCCATGGGTTATGCATACAAGATCTCTGTATCTTTATATTGTCGGAATTGCCTTAGATGGATTTATAGACAGAAAATTCTGGGTCAAAAGTTATCAGACCCCTCTAAAAAATGTACATGTATGCCTTGGAAGTAAAACGCAGAACTTGACTGATGACTGGTCCAACGTCCTAATTTTGCCAGAGGTTCCATCAAAGAATTTTATTCGCCCTATCGCCTCCCTGACAGTACAGATAAAAAGGCACCTCGTCCTGACACCATGGACTTGGGGCCAGGCACGTGTTTACTGATCACAGAAGATATCAACAAAATAATTGGTTGGTGAGCTGAGAGGAGTCTTCTTGTTCTCGCCCATCTGTTTATTTGACTGCATCTGGGCTTTTGGAGACTGATAATGCAGGGAACAGGCTGCATCTAACTACAGAGATAAGAATAAAAGCTCAAATTCAGGAGACCAGAAAGCTTGGAGGAAAACCAACCCAACACTAAAGCAAATGGAGCCATTAAGCAAGAAAGAGGATCTGGCCAAGCTGTTTTTTTCTCTTGAAAGCAGAAAGTAGCTATTTCGGGAGCTACAGAAACTGAAACAATTTATCAATGAGCTAAAAATGCCCAGCCAAGGAGCCCTGGAGATTTTGAAAGCCAGCGAGAGAAGCCTAAAAAGGACAAGTAGATTGAAGCATTAACAAAAATCTGAGTTAGAGATGCCAATCTTAATTAAAGGTTTAATTAAACAACATCTTGAAAATTTAAGCTGTAAACTGCAATTTATAAGACTAAACTGCCTCTAAGGGATAAACTGATAGTAGAGGTTGAATATCATATGATTTCTGAAGATATATTCAAGAATTTTAAAATATGTTGTAAGTAATGAAAACAGTCGTGACATAATATCTATTAAAACGGTTTAATCAAATGTGAAGGTATCCTTTTTGAATGGAAAATATCGTTAGGAACAATAAAGAAAAATATGTAAGGCCAAGAAAGTTAGAAATTTACCAATTAAAACATATAAGGTAAATGAGTGAAATAAAACAAAGATCACTGCCTGGCAAAAAACAACAAACAAACAAACAAACAAACAAGCAAACACTAAGTCCAACAATCTGTTGTCCCTAAGAGACATGAGTAAGCCCAAATATAAATGTCTCTACAAATCGAGCTTTTATTTAAGATTTATATGTCATTGCAAACCTGCCAAAATTGAATGTTACCCTTATGAAAATAATATTAGATGTTAAGTATATGAAACTATGAACAGTTAAGAAGAGGACATGTTAATGTTTAAGCATTATAGCAATATCCCGAAGAAAAATATTAAAATTGTGAAATATAATTATAACTGAAAACCTCAGAAGAACATCACAGCAGACTGAATAGATAAGGAATTAAATTCTTCTCAACAAACCAGATCCACTGATCAACATCCCCTCTTGATCTAATACCTCTAAATCTCTTAAAGACAAATAGATATAATTAGGTATATCATAACAAAAGTTTTTGTTCATTTCTGTTTGCTACTTTCAACTTCTCCACTCATTTTAATCTCAAAAATAGTTATGATGTCCAATCAAGCTCAATGCCACACTGTGCATTGTTCTATAAGTTGCCATGTGGGCCACTTAATAGATATTTATACTTGATGATTAGTAGTCAATAAACTGCTTGTTGAATAAACACATATATGCCATTATGAGAACAATAGCAACAATATAACAAAATAGACATTGGTTGAAAAGAATTCCAAATGTATGAATAGTAGTTTCTTTTCTCCCTACAAGCTGAATAAGAACACAACCTTCCTTTCTTTAAAATCAAACTTACTATTTAAGATTACAAATCAATTTAATTAATACTCAGTAAAGTTAAAAAAAAAAAATGTATTCCTACTGACCTTGTGAGAATGTAAGGGGAGAATGAAGCTGGATTATCTTGTTCTGAAAAGAGGGGCATCGATCCTCCCATTATCCACAGGCGGAAGTACAACACAACAATCACCTTCAGAGAAAAGAAGATCTGGTAAGAAAATCATTGCTTGTAAAATACGGTAGTTTATTCATACTGTGTCATGGCATTCACATGTCCATAGAATTCTTTCTAATGCTTTGTAGCATTTATGGCACGTTCACTCTTGGATCCTAAGATCAAGGTATTAGAACAGTGGTTTTCAACCTTTCTACTGCCATGACCCTTTAATAGAGTTAGTCCTCATGCTGTGGTGTCCCCCAACCATAAAATTATTTTCGTTGCTACTCATAACTGTCATTTTGCTAATGACAGTTATGAGTTAATGAATCGTAATGTGTTGGGAGCCATCAGAGTTGAGGAAATAGAATTAAGTTCCTTCTAGCAGAAGTTATGCGGTGCCCTGAGGGTTTGGCCAGAAGCTATTAACCTGCTGCTTAGCATCTCTGCAACTTCCCCTTCCTGATCCTCCCCCATAGCTAGCCCAGCCTTGGAATGTTACACCTTGGAATGTTACGCCACCCTGCCACCCTGGCAGTTAGCCAATCCTTTGTTGCCAGATACCTTACCACCTTGCCACTCAGTGCCTAAACCAATTATACACTGTCAAAGACCCCTTTTCATAGGCAACCCTGCCCCCCCTTTGTTCCTGCTGTATATATACTGCCATTTCAAAAAATAAAGTTTGAGGCTTGATCAGAACTTTGTCTTGCCTCCGTTCTTCGCGTTCCTTGTTTGTTTCATTCTCTTAGGTGGTTCCTGCGTACCCCCGTTGTTGCCCCGCGGGTCGGGACAGTAATGTAAATATCTGTGTATTTACTGCTGATTCTATTAAACAATCTGGATCATGCCTCTGAGCCATGTTACAGTGAAACATCCCTTAGCAGATAATTCAAAAGCATATATATATATATATACTTACATAACTTATGACCAAAATGGCCCTTTTTAAGAATGGCCGCATGGTAAGCAGGAAATTTCTATTACTGCTTGCAGTCAGATACCTGAAACAGGAAGAAAAAGAAAATCTTAAATATGTGTCAGAGTCCACCACACATTAACATTCTCCTTTCAGTCTGACGAAGCTGCAGCTCTGAAAAAGGCTGGGGAAGACCGAAACTAGGAGTGTGGCTTCTGGGGCCAGACCACTTAGGTTTCAGTCCCAGAGCCCTGGTGCTTCCTGGCTGGGAGACTTTGGCCAAGTTTCTTAACCTCTTTGCACATCTATTTTTCTCACTTTATAAAAAGGGGGATACGAATAGTATCAAACAGAAGAGTTGTGAGGAATAAACAAGACAATAATTTAGAACAGGGCCTAAGCGTACTGTGAGTTGTAAATATTACTATCCCATCTAATCCCAATAACCCAGGCATTCTGTTGTTACACTAATCACAGGGATGATTCAAAACAAAATTGGAGTTTATTTGTCTACTGCACATAGTTTGAGAAGTACAATGTCTTCTACTCACAAAATTATTTCACCAATGTTTTACTCCTAAAAACAGAGGATGTCGAGGCTATGTGGGGTTAAGTCGGATAAATTTATCCAAGGTAACAAAGTTAGTAACCACCGGTGGTGGGATCAGAGCTCAACCGTAAGCAACAGATTATCTCACCTGCTAGAGGCTTTCGGAACCAAACTGGATTATAAGAATGTCAACTTCTAGTGGAGCAGACCCTGCATCTGCCACAGAGCTCTCATTTGAACAAAATAAGAGCTCCATATATCCACCCATCGCACATGCGATCAGGGGGTTTTTCTTAAATATATATATTTTATTGATTTTTTTTTTTTTTACAGAGAGGAAGGGAGAGGGACAGAGAGCTAGAAACATCGATGAGAGAGAAACCATCAACCAGCTGCCTCCTGCACACCCCCTACTGGGGATGTGCCCGCAACCAATGTACATGCCCTTGACCGGAATCAAACCTAGGACCTTTCAGTCTGTAGACCGACGCTCTATCCATTGAGCCGAACAGGTTTCAGCTGTGATCAGGTGGTTTTAATAAAGATAATGAAAGGGATGCAAGAGGGGCCTGTTACCAACCCCAAGCAAAAAACTAATGCAAGGCATTTTCACCTACATGCACATTTCTATATTTTTAAAGTACAGGATGGAGGGGGAAAAGTCAAATTGAATAGCATCATCCTGCAAGCATGCACCAACTCATCCTTATTTCCCCTACACTTTTCCATTTTTTCTATGACTACTTTAAGCCCAATTTCTCCTCAAAGAACTGATCCCCAGAATCTCTTAAAATTTGCATTTGAATGAGGTCTCCTTACACAATGGGACTATTCTGTAAGACAGAGATCCTTTTTTAAAACCTGAATGGGTTAGTACCACACAGAAATGTCCACCCTGGTAATTCCTATCAAAATATGTATGAGTCTTCTACTTTGATTGGATGTATGAATAAAAGGTGTCTACACAGCACTGTAAGGAGGTGACAGTGTCACTCAGGGGCAGGTCTCTTCCCTTTTCATCTCCTGGTTGGTAAACAGCTGAGAAGCTGACCTTTCACGTATTTAATGAGTGGAGAGAAGGTGAGCCCAAAACACCACCCAGAGTCCGCTTTTAGCAAGCTCTGGACTGGATCCATCTCCAGGCATTACACGAACGTCCTGTCTTCTCCCTTAACTCTCAACAGAGAGGTTGGCAAGGAGCAAGGCCAGGAATTCTGTCAACTCCCACCACACAGGTGCATCAATAATGTCCCAAAATAGGCTCCGGGAGCCCACACATCCTGAACGCCCAAGATTTTCAGTATGTTTGCATCTGTGTGTTTTTCTGAGGCAAATTCCTTGGCTTTGATCATCAGTGTTAACTTGGTCTGTGATTACAAAAGAGATGCAATCCCTGCTAAGCATGTCCTCTCAGCTCTGCCTTTATTCTGGCAATCATTTTCCGAATAACTCAACAGAGACCAGCCCTGGATATTTCTGCCATTCCCTCTGGGAGATAAATGGCTGCAGGGAGGGGAAGGGCAGGAGAAGGTGGTGGGGGGTGCGGGGGGGGGGGGGGGGGGGTGGGTGGGTGGGGACTGGAGTTGCAATGCATCTGAATGAAAAAATACTTCTTGGGTTGTTCTGCTTGGGGAAGCTTCATTTCTCCATGACACTGGTTTATTTTAACACAGTGTAAAATGTAGAAGTGGTTTCCTTTCTATAAAGCAACAAACCCTAGGGTTTAGGATTTTTTTCAGTGGTAATCTTTGGTAAATTCATAGTTTGCTTCACTTCAAGTTCACTATGATGGTTGTTTTTATAAGGTATCTTCTCCTTTAGAAATTCTTCCTCTGTGAGAAATCCCATTTCCTTGAATGTTAACCTCCTATAGTCACCAAATAATTTACTCTTAAAATGCAGCATCCTGAAGCAATGACAGCCTAGAATGATGCAGAGAGCAGTGGCTGAAAAAAAAAAAAAAAGACCTATTTTCAAGTCTTCTATTTTTAGTTGCTACCAATATTAAGTAACAAAATAAGCCAAAATGGCATGGCCCCCTTTTTTTGACCAACACAAGGTCAGGCTGAGATCCCTAAGCTCAGACAGGGAGCACCCCAGGGCTGAAGGCTCTGCATCTTTTCCTCTTCTTCCCCAAACTCCCAACAAAAACATATAATAACAATATTATTATTAATAATAAAAATGGAAAATAATTAATGTGTGCCTGAGTGATTACATTGTAGCAACTTATTTACCACTTACAACAAGTCTATGAGGCAGAACATTCTAATTCCTTTTTACAAAGCAGGAGAAAAAAGAAAACAACCAAAAAACTAGAAGCAATACTTAACTGTTATAGCAGAGTCTCTTAGCTATTCATTTCAAACACACGCTAAAATATCTGAGGTGCCTTATAAGGCAATATGCAAATGCCATCACTGACAGGAAGCCAGAGAAAATCCCAACAACAAAACCAAACCACTGAGGAAACGACTAGAATGGGAACCAAGCATCCAGGGTTCTATTCTTGTGCTTCCAACTCATTTCTTAAGTGACTTGGAACAAGTCCACAGGCCTTCTGTCTTTTGTTGTTTCCCCCGCCCTGTATCAATGAGAATTATTATAGACTAAATGGTTTCACTGTCTCTTTCAATTATATATTATTGTGATGTGTAGATGTTTCACCAAATGATGACATCAGAAATGACAACTGAAGAGAGAAACCTACTGAAAATTTAAGGAAAAATGCCAAGGGATTAGGAAAATATTAATTGGTCCCCATTTGAGTAGACCCATTATAATTGCAGTTGCATATAAAAACACATTATTTGTTTTGTAATTTAATTTTTATTGAGGTAATATTGGCTTATAACATTAAATCAGTTTCGGGTTATGCTCATCACCATAAGTCCAGTTTCCATTCAACACCATCAACTGAGCCCCTTTACCTGTTTTGCCTTCCCTCTATCCCTGTTCCCCTCTGCTCACCACCAATCTGTTACCTGACTCTATAAGCTTGTTTTTCTTTTGTTTGTTCATTTGCTTTTTTTCTTTCTAAATATATTTTTAATTGATTTTCAGAGAGGAAAGGAGAGGGAGAAAGAAACATCAGGGATGAGAGAGAATCGAGAATCATTAATTGGCTGCTTCCTGCACACCCCCTATAGGGTATCAAGGCTACAACACCTTCCCCCTCTTCTTCCCTCAGGCCCATTTTCTCTGCCTTTCTTTATCCTATGCTCTGATGCTCTCTCTTCCTTTGCCTCTGCAACTTATGATACTTCCTGAGTCTGCACAGCCCAGCTGGCTCATTTCTTCTTCTACCCACCATGTGACTTTCTGAATAAACTTTTGCTAGTATTTGAATTTCTTGGCTCAGGATTATTTCCTTAGCCAAACTCAAGGATGAAAGTCTAACATTCTGGTGCAATTTGCCATTAACAAACCAACGCTATTCCTTTTTCTGTGTTTTCCTTACCCTTCAGTACTATACCAGAGTCCAAAATAAGAAGGGTAGGTACTGTTTTCCTTACCTTAAATCTTGGTGGTTTCAATGAAGATATTATATTGTACTTTCCAGCTCTTCTCAGAATCTCTCAAAACACCATAATTTTGCCTGAATACCAGCTCCACTGGCAAACATCTCAGACACAAAGAGTTATTACTATTTAACGTTGTACTGATAAATTATAAAATGCTATATCCCAAATTTCTTCTAGACATCAGTCCTACTAATTTAATTTCTCCTGCTCTGTCAAGGTAATAAAGGAGATTAATAAAGAGTCACAAATTATGAACAAAATGCTGAATCCAAAGCTTTTTAAAACAGGAATTCAGAAATCTGCTTCTCTTTGAAACACAAGAAAAAGACATTTCAGTGAACCAAATAACAAAGATAAAGCTTGAATTAGAAAAAGATTATAAGCTTAACAAAAGCAACAAAGGAAATTTAAGTGGGGTTGGGTTCTCTCTTCAATGCACTCTCCTTGAACCTATAAAGTGCTTCATCTAAATCTTAATAACCAAAAGGCATTCCACAGAGGAGCAGAACAACCTTTGATGTCTCCTTTGATATTTAAATGAAGATTCTGAAGGGAAGAGCTAACTATTCTAAGACAAGGATGCATTTCTCAGTTCAATTTACTCAGAAACCCAAATTGACTCTCAATACCCCATTCTGTGGCTGTCAGTATTTCTGCTGAGAAATTTTAAACTCTTAACTCAGTATGTTACTTACAAATAAATGTTTACTTAGATTATCACCCACAGAATGCTGGAAATAAAATCAGAGAAGGCAAAGGGGAATAAAATTTCAGTTCTCTTAGCTATTCTAAAAGTCAAGTTAGAATTGGAAGGACTCTAAACAGCTCAGGTAGTTTTCCAGGTGAGAAAAAAAAGAAAATACAGAAATGTTAACTGACTTGCAAAAGGTCATGGTATGGTGGTCAAAGGTCAATGAGTTTAACTTTCCTTAATTTAGTCAGATGGTCTAATTTATATCCTTCTACATTGAATTTAGAAGGAATTTTTATGCCTCCAACATGTAATAGCAG